AAGTAAAGCATTGTTTTCAAGCCCTGACACATGAGATAAGACTGCAGCTAGCAGCCTCTGACGAGTTCTGACCTTTTTGAGTCAATCACAGTCTGTTCAGTGATGCCACAGGACACTGCTCGACGTCCAGCACTATTTTATCTTCTCATGTTCCTCTGTTTAAGTTGGGAGTGTTGAGCAAATCTAAACAACACCCACAACAATTCAATTCAATTCACCTTTATTGTCATTATACTTACACAGGTGCATAGTATAATGAAAAGTGTTTCTCATTAGTCACTCAGGTGCAGTATATAAATAGGACAGAAGATAAGACAATAGACAGTTACACAATAGCAATAACAGTAACGTGTAATAACATAACATAAATAACATGTAATCAAGTAATTAAAACTGTGCAAAATTCCACAAACAGATAAAATATAACAGGACAAAAACAGTGCAAGGTAATTCTTGGAACAGTGCAAAAATAGTATGGTGATTAATAAATATTACGACTGATACAGTTTTACTGAGCTATCGAAGAAACAGTACAATTTCGGCTTACATGTGTGTGTAGTGGTGTTGGAGTACAGTCCTTGTGGGTATAGGAAGACGTTAGGAGAGATCATAATATGATGGGAGGGAGTGGGGGCGTTACCAACTTGACAGCTCTGGGGAAGAAGCTATTTTGGAGTCTAGTTGTGTGCGACTGGAGTGACCGGAACCTTCTGCCAGATGGTAGGGGGACAAACAAGTTATGACTGGGGTGAGTGGGCTCAGACATAATCTTGGTGGCTTTTTTCAGACTCCTGGTGTTGTAGATTTCCTGGATGGATGGTAAGGCACTGCCGATGATGTGTTGGGCAGTTTTGACCACCCGCTGTAGTGCCTTACGGTCGGATGCGGTGCAGTTGCCGTACCAGACTGTGATGCAGCTGGTCAGTATGCTCTCCACCGTACATCTGTAGACGTTGGTGAGGATCTGTGGATGTAAGTGTATTTTCAAGAACACTACTAGGTCCTGAAATCAACATTTTCCAATCTAGGAACAAGTAAAGGTTTATTCCACGTTGAAAAGAGAAGAAAGGAAATGCAACGTTTCGGCTGTGGAGCCTTCGGGTGTCTCCATTAGGGGCTCTGGGGCTTTGCACCTGATGATCCCTGCCTGCAATAGTAAGCATGCAATGCACAGTATAACCTGCAATAACTGACACCCGAAGAAGGCTCCACAGCCAAAATGTTGTTTCTTTTCTTCTCTTTTCAGCAGGGAATAAACCTTTGCTTGTTCCTTTGCAGCCTTAATCCATCTGATTTGTATATTGTATTGTGTGATGCGTGCAGCCTTTAGCATAGTGCAAGTGAACACAGCACTGAGACACAGCAGCCCTGAGGGCAGACTGGAACACAGCAGCACTGGGGACAGACAGACACTGGGACACAGCAGCACAGAGAACATTCATGGAAGGTTTGGTGTAGCCCACACTGAAAGGTAAGACCTGTATCTTACTATTGATGCCTAGATGAGAAAGAAGGATGCCTTTTTGTTTAGACAACATAAATTATTTGTATGTTGCCTTGGTGATGATCTGTTGAAAGAACCTTTTGCAAATAAATACCATTAACCTTCTTGTTTGCTTTGGAAATGTTTCTGGCTACTGTGTTCTCAATTGGTGCTGATTGATTGATTCTACACGGGTAGTGTTTTTCCAGTGTGTAGCTCCCAGGAGATGGTAAGAGTATTCCTCTGCATTCCTGAAAATGGGAGGTCTTTAAATCCCAGTCTCCTCGGGTGCTAGGATAACAGATCACTGTCTGGTTCCTGTGGCACAAGGCAGCTCTGTGTTCAGTGCTTATCCAGTCAAGCAGACACTCAGCTGGATTGGGTGTGTCTCACCTGATAGGTAGCCTGTTCCCAGACATACAACCCTCTTTAAATAACCACAGCGTTGTCACGACAAGAGCGACACTAGCTTACCTGGGGCGGAAGAGCCTACAGCTCTGGAGAAACCAGGACAGAATTTTTTTGAATGTTTTTTTAAGTCGACGTGATAGTCACAAGGGGTCTGGCGCCTGGGCCGAGCCCTTATGATTTAGGGGGTCAAGCCTGCTCCTTTTTCCCGCCGTACGAAACAAGTTCTGTCACCCTGTTCCACTCCGAATCCTTGCCCTCCCTTCCTATCCCGCTTCAATACGACAGCAAGACATCCTGAGAGACGCTGGGATTGGGAACGTATTCTCCCACGGGAACGATGATATGAACACGCAGTGGGTTCCTGGAGGCCCGATACCCCGTTTTCCCCAAGATGCCCCAGAACTTTCTACTTGATCGATTACAGGTGAATAATATGGCCACTGTAATACCCTGTAATACATTCTTTATCTGTGGATTCACATTGCGTTGCCACTACAAGTAGATTATTGGTTGGTTTCTGTGTCCTTGACTTGATGACTTAAAACGAATTACACTCCACTGTACCCATAAACAGTGTACAGAGTGGACGCAGTCGTACAAGCAGGGGAGCCACTTGTGACGCTTGCTTCCTGGGGCACAACAGTTAGCTACCAGCTGCTAGCAAAAGCAGATCCTGGCTATGTACACACACACATTAGCGTAGTAGTCCCATGATTTACATACTCTTCCATGTGGTGTGAGACGGGTATTTAACCAAATAGCAAAGACTGTTATCACTTTATGGGGGAAATCCAAAGCACTTAGAGCAGTGAGTACATCTCTCCTTCCTCCGGGAGCTCAGGGATGGGATGGGAATCAAGAGAAAGCGCCCTCTTTCTAAGAGGGAACCCCGGACAAAGCGAAGACGAGCCCACCGAAGCTAGGATCACTGGGATGAAAAGCCTCCAAACTGGAATTTCAAAAACCAACATCAAGCGGCACAGCTGATAACAGCTGCCTTTGCAAGGGATGCAGAATCCAGCACTGGGACTTGAAACCCCCAGGTAAAGAGATTAAGCTTGTGCGAGTCTGGTTCGTGTGCTTTATTAAAGAAGAGAACTGGACCAAACTCCTCTGTAATACAAGTAGTAGACAAGTATGGTTGTAGCCCCAGACCTGAGCCCCTCCCCCCCCCCCCTTTAGATCATTCCTCATGGGGAAAGGCGACTGGTTCAGTGACGGGCCGCTAGATGGCGCTCTTTCCAGGAGAGACCTCCCCCCCCAAGCTTGCACCGGGGGCAGTGATGGCCCATTTGTATACTTACGTTGTGGACAGCAATCACCATGGTATAATAAGCTGTAAATTCATTTAAATACAAGGTACCCCCTCCCCTTGTGCGTTACCTCTACCTACACACAATTTGAAAAGCAGCTTTGAACCCCGGTGTCAAACGGCACGGCCCCGAGAGGATCCCTCCATGTCCTCCACGCCGGCGTGTACCCTGCGCCGGCCTATGCACGATCAGGGGCCAGTCGTTCGTGCCGTGGCCCTCTGGGCTGCTCCGTCTTGCCACCTGGATGGGGCAGTGCCCTCAGGCTGCTCCCTGTCTTAAAATGCCCACTCTCCAGGCCAGTCTCGTGCAACACAGACAGTGGGCCTCTCTTTGTGAAGACAGGAAGGATTGAGTTCCGTGAAGCTGGTTCTGCTGGCAGACGGGGGCAGACACGAGGGTCCTTGGGTCACTGGGAATCTGTTGTCAGACGAAGAGGAAGAGAGAGAGAGAGAGGAAGAGAGAGACAGGGCCATTGTCCCTACATTCTGGGGAAGTAGATGCAGAGACACACTAAACGTGTCACGTCTGTTAACCCTTGTGTAGCTGTTAACCAGAAACCAGTGTTTAGCTTTTGACCAGTGTATAGTGGTTGACCAATGTAGCTGTTGACCAGCGTGTAGCTGTTGGGCACTTAAGATGAGTTCAGGTTTTTAATGATACTTTCTGTAATTCATGTGGGAAAAAAAGAAAATGAAGCTCTGGGGAATTCAGTATTTTTTCTCCCAGAATTCAATCAAGTTTTGTCAAGCTGCACTGCGGACACGTTGTGTATTTTTCTGTAGGACAGCGGACGATTCTGTCTCCTGCTGTGTTACGTCCTCCACGCTGTGAACCTACTCCCTGACTCCAGTCTCCTTTTTACCCGTTCCTTGGTTTTCCTGGACCGTCGTCATGGAGAAGGCTCAGCTGGCTGTCGCTCTCCTGGCAGGTGACTTCTCCTTTGTTTGTCAGGGACTCGGGAGTGAGGACCTGCTCAAACACAGCCTGTCCTCCAGCCCACAGCCTTCAGAGTATCAGGCTTCCTA